ATTCTGTGTTTTCCCCTTATTTCATAAACCTGCCCACTCTTTCCAGGTTGCTGCCGCCAGCAAAAAGAGAGCACAGCCTCTCAGTACCCGTAAACTTTATTAAATGTGTGCTTTTTCATTCTTAAATTAAATTAAAATCAGTCTGTTTCATACTGAAATAGCACCAAAGGGAGAAGGATGACAGTATCACCAAGCAAAAGGGAGGGAGGAGAGAAAACCCAGAAACTGTTATATACGAACAAGATTTTTTTTAATGGTTAAGAAAATGGGCAATTTTTATTTTTTTCCCCTAATCTGGAGACCTAACATTGTGTATGCTAGTGTGTATATGGGAGAACCGAGGAGGCTAAGGATCAGTGTTAGTCAAAATCGCTCAGTGCAGGGTAGGTATGGCCAAATCATTACTGGAAATTTAACTTCTTAATGCTGCACCCCAAAGACCACCCCGAATACCACGTAGAGGAGTCTCATACATGACACATTGGTGTTTATGTTCCTTTTAACTGTGTAAATTATTGGGTGGCAGCATTTCCTTAGGACTTGATTGAATTCCCCACAGCATGAAATCAGCGCCAACTACAACGTGGATGCAGCAGCCCGGTCCTTGCCCTTCCAGAAATTGCAGCGATGTGAATCGCAGCAGCAGAGCAGCCAGTTTTTTGTCTTGCCAAACTGCACTGGTAAAGAAAAACCTATTTCTCTGAAATTTTCCAGGTGTGGCCATTCCCACAGTTCAGGTTTGGCTGAAAGCTGCCGCTGCAGCGGGCTAAAGGGAGGTCTCACGTTCAACTGTCTCTGAATTGGGCTCTACGAGCCTGTGCTAAAGCATGTCACCATCAGTGGAAAAAAACCCTGATTTTTGAAGACTTTGGGGGCAATACTTGTGCTCAGCAGCCCTGTGCCAAAGCTCTTGGTGGTTTCTGTGCACTGAGGCTGCGGTGCCCTGTTTGTGGGGCTGGGCTGGGCAAGGCGCTGTGCAAACCCACAGAGACCCACGGCCTGTGGACCACGGGCACCCGTGCAGTGCTGCAAATGATGGGGTGAAGGAGATGGGTCTGTCTGCTCAAAGATCATAGAATCATAGAATAGTTTGGGTTGGAAGGGACCGTTAAAGGTCATCTAGTCCAACTCCCCTGCAATGAGCAGGGACATCTTCAACTAGATCAGGTTGCTCAGAGCCCCGTCCAACCTGACCTTGAATGTTTCCAGGGATGGGGCATCTACTACCTCTCTGGGCAACCTGTGCCAGTGCCTCACCACCCTCATCATGAAAAATTTGCTCTTTATGATGAATTTGGCACCTGACGTTGATAGGATGCTTTATAAAGGTTTTTTTTTTTTTTTCCTCTTAAAACAAATGTTCTAAAATCTAAATGTTGCACAGCATATAAGCTTAAGCTTCATCAGTGCCTAATGGCACATTTGATTATTGAAACCAGAAGGATTTTAATACACCTAATTAGTTTCTCATCATTAACGTATTGATTTTTCTGCTTTAAAAAAGAATCAAACTACATAGGTCACTTTTTTATTTATAGCTACTTTTGCTTTCCCCTCCTAATACACATGCTCAATACTGTAGGCCTAGGAGGGGTGCAGTTTTCAATAGTTTACTTCCAATTCTTCTTAGGTTAAAATAATCTAAACTTCATGGCTGGATTTTAAAATAAGCCTAAAGAGTTTAGAGGCTTAAATGTTATTAGAGTTCAAAGCAATTTGATTGCATGACCTCTTTTTAAAAGCCATTGTTCATACGTGGAGGGATTTTCAAAAATACTTATGGCCCAGATCAAAAAAATCAATTACAGTCTCAGATCCCTAAATAGTTTTACTAGGTGTGCAGCAAGGGATTCAAACCCTCAGAAATTAGTGGAAGTAAAACATTCGAGCATTTTTGGGAAAGTATGCCTATGTAGCTGAGTTCAGTGCGCTGGGAAGAGTTTTTTAAAGGCACATATGACAGGCTTGTGTACACACCAAAGCTGTACTGATTTAATGACAGTGATTTGGTGGCAGTTGTAGAAACTCATTTGTATGAAGGTGCTTGATATTGCTATAGCTAGTTCAATACGGGAAGAACAATCTGTAGCACTATAAAGCTGCTTTATACTAGTCTAAATGTGACCATATGAGAGACAATAGCAATATAATTATATTGATTTTTTTAAATCATACTCTTAAGTGATATTTATACTTGTCAAAGGCATGTACACGTTATCCCAACCTTAAGTCTCCTCGAAATACCAAAGAAACGGCATGCTTAAATCTTTTCAGCTTGGAAAACCTCAGATTTTGTGCCTTGGTAGTGCTGGCACTGTTCGGTTGTGCCTGTGAGCAAGTGATGCCTTGTCCTTACCGCCAGCTCGGCTTTTGCACTTGGATGGAAGAGCACAGCGTAGGAGGGATGGTGGCCATCTCCCATTCCTGCCCCAACAAGCCTTGCTGTTAGAAAGGTTTTCCCAACAATTAACCCCCATCCTTTTGGCTACACCTTAAGCCCATTCCCTCTTGATCTGGCCAGCATGGGCAGAGTAGGTTGCTCCCCTCGTCTCCAGCGACACTTTGGAGAGACCATTGCCAAGAGCGCAACACTCTTCCAACTTCTGGTTTGGGAGCTTTGAGCTCCAGCAATGAGCTGCAGGGATGCTGGGAGGGACCATAACCCCGTGAAGCCAAAGCTGCGTGACTATCCCTGATTTTCTCATGTCACCTCCTGCATGAACATTGAGGGGCTGAAGGGAGGCAGGTAAAAGAAAGGGCTGTTGGGGGTTTGTGTGATCCCTCATCTGCCTTTCTGCTGTGTTTGCAGAAGGCAGTTACATAAAATGTTTACCCAGATGTGGCACAGGACATTGCCATAAAGGGGCTTAAAACAGGACACACTGAAACAAGAATGGTGGGAAGGGGGTGGAGGTATCAATGGAGGTAGCGAGGGCGGCACTGAGCTGTGCCATGCCAGGACAGACTGCCGAGCACAGCCCGGCTGCGGTGCCACCAGCCCATCACCACTGCTCTACCAGCCAGGCCATGGAATGCCAAGCTCAGGTAAGGCTTTGGGATGGCAATGGTGAGAGAAGGTCTTGGGGCCTCGCAACACTAACGAAGTCATTTTAATTACCTTGGGAAATGGGCCTTGCATGCAAAACCATGTGGGTTTATGTCTTCAGGGGACAGGAATGTCCCAGGACTCTGCATCCTTGGGCACGGAGGGAGGTGTGTGGGGATGCATAGGAAGGAGGAGGCTCAGGGCAGCCAGGAGGGAATGTGGCTCAACACCTGCCGTGGAACTTGGTGCCATGAAGTTGAGCAGGCACCAAGCTGTTTTCCTAACCTGTCAAGCAAGACAGCCCAAGGTGGAAATGACTCCCTCTTGGGTTAAATTGTAATTTCAGGTACAATTCTCTTTGGACACCTTGAAATCTCTGCTCTGCTGTGATTTTATTAAGATCTTGTCTGGTGTGCAAGTGGCCAGTGAGCTTGGTCCCCAGGCTTCTTCCTAACCAGATTACCAGGTGATACCCCACTTTGTTTTACCCCGTCGGGGGCTTTTTAAAGTTAGACTCAGGAGAGGGAGCATCATCGTGTTGTGTTTATACAGCACCAAGCGATAATTAGGTGCTCCTATAGTCCAGAAAATGCTGAAGATAAAGAGCTAGCAGATAAATGAGCCCACAGTGATACAAGATCCTGCTTCACTAATAGATTTCTGTCACTGAGACATTTCTACCAGCCAAAAAAAAGGTGATAAGGATCACAGCAAAGAATTTAAAGCTCCTGGTTATTGCAAACAGGAGATTTGTTTTGCCTGATGATTTTTAAAGCCCTGCAGAACCAATGCTCTTGTTCCTGCTTCCCCCTCGGTTCTCCTTTAGAAAAGGACAAGAAGACTTCCATCGTCTTCTCCTCATACTCTCCCCTTTCTGGAGGCGATTTTTGTTCATTTTTTTCCCCACGCAACTCTTTCTCCACTGTTTTTTTCTTTTAAGACTGGCCCAACTTAAAACATTCTTCATTATGGCTTAAATAGCATCCGTCAGACACTATGAACTTGTTTCCTGCATACAGATGGTGGGATGGTGGGTGCCCTATCATCTTCAAGACAGGTGTACCATGAGCATCATCTCAGTGTGGACCTTCCTTGCCCATCACCCAAATCCCTTCAGATGGACCTCCCCCAGAAAAGCGCTGTGCTGTCAGCGTAGCAAAAGGGGTGCACGCTGCTGGCAATGGGGAACACTGGTTTAGAGCCAACTCCTGTGAATGAGGCCTTTTGACTACCTGGCAATTTTCATCATAGAGTCAAGAGAGTCATTTGTTTTCTTTCACTTTTGGCTACCAAAATCGTTTTGTCTCAAAACAAAACAAAGGATTATTGGGTTTGGCTTCTATAAGATGACAAATAAGTTTGGTTGATGAAAAGAGCTTGATTTAGGGGGGGCAAAAGTCAAACAAAAAATTGGATAAATGAAAAAAATTTCACCAAAGTTTTCATGCAATAAAAAAATCCCCTAAGGTAAGGTTTTGAAAGCCAAATTAGATATTAAGCCTCCTTTGTTTCATTGTCAAAAGTGATGAGGTCTGGTCTAAAATGGCATTTGCAAGCCAAAATCCGTCTGACCTTCCAGAAGGCTCTGAGCTCCCCCAAGCACACTTGTCCCTTCTGGAGGTGGACCTGAGGACATCTAGAAACTTTGCACCTGCGTTTTTTTTACAGAGACAGTGCTAAACCTTGGGCCTATCGAAGGAAGCAGCCAAGCTGCAGGTGATGTCAATAAGACCAGGTTGCTGTTCACAGCCTCCTTTTCTGGATGGGATGCATCACCTCATCTCTGAGAGAAGAAAGGAAACAAAGCAATGTCAAAATTAAAAAAAAATCAGAACAAATCATGTTTCAGCACAACTATTATTTTTTTTTCTGTATTTTTCCCCCTCTCTACTGATACGTAAAAAAAATATATATTATATTATATTTTCCTTTTCTTAAATTATTTTTTTCAGCCTCAGTCCCAGCCGAAGTCCTGCCCCGTCATCTGGTAGAACTTCATGTTGAAGGGCCGGTAGAAGTCCCGCAGTCTCTGCACCACCTCCTGGTCTATGTCGGGGTGGGTCCTGCCTTTCGTCTTCCCCAGGCAGTGGGGTTTGCTGCTGCCTTCCGCCTTCTTCAGGCAGGGGAACCCCTTGGTTTTGTTGAAGTAGAAGTGTTTGTCGGTGATGATCCTCTTGAGGCCCAGAAAGTCCTGGACCCTGCCCAGCTCCCCCGCGGGGTCGCTGATCAGCCTCTCCCCGCTGACGAAGAGGATCTGCCCAATGGGGAAGTAGAGGAGCCAGTTCTCCAGGTGCTTGGCATAGATGCCAATCTGGATGGCGCTCCACGAGGTGTCGATCAGGCCCGTAGTCCTGTTTTTGAAGGTCAGGCTCTCAAAGGTGGGGATATCGGGCTTCTTGGAGAGCGTCTGGGTGTAGTCCGAGATGGCTCTGGTCACGGGGTCCCGCACCACCACGATGAGCTTTGTGCCCTTGGACATGGAGGAGATGCGGGCTGGGGCCTCCTTGGTGACGAAGTAGCTGGGGGTCTTCTCCATGGTGATCTGCCCCTCCAGGGTCCTGGGCATGAGGTCTCTGAGAGAGAGGGAGAGAGGGAGACGTTAGTGCGGAATGGCCCTGGGTGGGGTGGGGGGAGCTAAGGGCAAGCAGCGCTCCGGGGATGTCCCGGGTACCAAGGGCAGGATGCTCCTGAGCCTCGCACCTCCAGCCCAGCTCGCTTTCCTCCTTGAGTGGATTGTCAGGAGGCCCACAGTGCTCTGATTCAGCCAAGCATCTAAACACACTCCTGGTTTCCCACTTCCTTTGGCTGCCTATTACCTAGAATTAGACTTAAATCCATTTTGCCTTATTCAAGGCCTCTGAAGAACTTGAGGGGGATCTCACCTCCCTTCTTGCAATGGCACTGTAAGAACAGAGCACATCTCTACAGTCCTAATGTCCTATCCCTTTAAATTCCTCTCTGCCCACACTGGGGTTTCCTGCACATTGGCTTAAATTCCCTGGAATAACAGTGAATTTCTCAAGTAACAACACTCCCTTTCTGCAAGGTGCAAGGGATTTTCAAGGGCTGGGATGTAAGACTCTATCTTTTGGTATTTTCAAGGTGGCAGCAAGCTGATGTCACATAAAAATGTGCAATATCAGCCCCCTGACCTCAGCAATTTCCTTCTTTCACCCAAAGAAATCCTACATGCCAGCTGCTTTGGGAAGCTCTCCCAGCTGGGAGCGGGAAGGGGCTTGGGGCTCAGCCCAGAGTCCCTCCTGCTCCATGGTCCCCTTGAGAGTTCAAAGCCCTCCTGGGCCAGGCATTGGGTGTGATTTGCTAAAGGTCCGCAGGATTTGGCCGCAGGATAACCTGAGGTCCCCTGTGTTAAACAAGGCAACCCAGAAAGGTGTAGGAGCCATATGAGTGGCCGTTTGCTCCTCCTGGGTGCTCCCAGCTCCCCTCCTTGCTCACCCCTGCCTGCCACACCACATGCCATCCCATCCCCTCACATTCGTGTTGCCCCCTGTATCACCTCGGGACAGGAGCCAGCATCTGCAAAAACCCAGTGATTTACACGATCGTTATCTGGTTACACAAACTCATCCCACCTTTCAGGCTCTCAGCAGTTTTCCTCTCCGCAGCTTGGTCTCCTTCCAATGGTCCAGTCATTCCCGGGGGGAATGGGAGATGGATGGGAGGTGGCTGCGGCGCCGGTGAGGTTCACCGCCGTGCCACCAGCAGTTCTCATGGCAACTGCAGCCCCGGGTCCCGAGGAGCAGGGACCCGCATCCCCCTCACGCCCTGACCCCTCGTCTTTGACCTCGCCGCAGTTGCGACACCCGTGTGCTGTGATGAACTGCTCCCTGCCTGCGTTATTGTTACCGTCTTGCAGCAGCAACATCTGGTTTGCAAACCTGTGCAATATGCCAGCAAAATTAAACTCATCTATCAAAAAAGCAACAATGAAAAGCCAACAACAGCTAAAAACACCAATAACAACCAAACCCCAGGCTGAGTCGTTATGTTACAAATGAGGCAGCGAGGACTGACCCTTCCTAAAGCAATTCTTTCTATTTGCAACCACATTACATAGAGGCTGAGCAAAGACATGGTCCTAAAGAATCTTTGCTGGTTTCTGTTTGGGGGGAAACTCCATGAATTTGGGACATTCAGGCTGGAGAAGAAACAAGCTGAAGGGTATGAGAGAGCTCCCGCGCATCCTGAAGGATATGAAGACATCAAGGCAATTGCTGCTGACACTAAGGATGGAGACAGCTTCAAAACCAGCACGAGGATGGCCTTTGCCGAGCAGACACATAATTCTATGGTAGGATTTGCCATACCTAATGCTGCAAAGGCCAAAAGTGTGAATGGTTCAGAAACAGACTGGTCAAATTCATGGTGCTTGAAATGAATCAGTGGCAATGAAATGTGAGAGTCCCAGAGCTGCTACAGCCATAGGGAGCCCCCAACCCCGATTGCCCTCAGCTGGGAGGAGATAACAGGAGAAGGAGCCCTACAAACCACCAGCTTTCATATGCTCTTCTGTAGATACCTGATACCAGCCACCATCTGGAAGAAGGTACTGGGCTGGATGGCTCTTTGCTCTGGCCCACGGCAGCTGTTCATATGTTATTTTGCTTAGGACAGTCTCACGAATCACCTTTTTTCCCCCATGTGCACCAAGCCCTCATTTCTCAGATGTTGTATTGTTGCCCTCTACTTTGAAAACCCTGCAACAACTGAGTCACCTGGAAGCACCTCCGAAAGGCTGACGGAACCGGGTTGTTGCCCCCCCTTGCCCACTGCCTGCCAGCTCAGTCCCCAGCTGATCCCTGCCCCTGTAACGCAGCCTCCTACAACTGCAATTTGCTGTTGAGCAAGAGCAGGAGCCGCCGAACCAGCGGCAGGGCGAGGGCAGCGGGAAGGCGCGCTGACTTCTGTTTGTGTTTTGATAAGTGTTGAAATCTCCGCTGTGTCTTCCCAAGGAGGAGCTTAACCCTTCTCATGGGGAGGCTGCAACACAAAAGCTTTCTTCAGCGCCCAGGAATGAGCACGCACCTCCGCTGCCAGGGCCGGCGGGCAGGGACACGCCAGGAGCCACAGGGAATGTGCTACCACAGCTTTTGGGAGATTAATTAATTACAAAGGGCATCTTTCATGGACGTAAACAGTTGCCTGGAGGCCTCCCTGGTCTAATGGCATCTGGGTTTTATTGCAAAAGAGCCACTTGAAAAGACAAGAACCACAAAAATGTTTTTGGCAAGAGCAGCCACCAGTGGGCCCTGCCAGAATAAATGGATTCTGTTATTTTAATTTTAGTAGAGCTCGGGGCTTTATTTAATTACTTAATAGGGGAGGAAGACTTTCCTCAAAGGGAGCATTTCGGCTATGCATGCATTCATATCTGGCCTTTTCCAGGTCCATACTTTCTTCCCAGCAGTGGCGTCCAAGACGGCCGTTCCTGTGTCTGGCCAAAGGTCCCGGAGGGAGCTCTTGGGGCTGCTGCTCACAGGAGCTGTGGTCCCCTCCCCACCTCAGTGGACTTCTCAGGACTTCACTTTAGTAATGCAATAGTTTGGATTTGTCTTCCCTTGGAGCCGCTGCAGCAAACCCTCCAGCACCCAGCCAGGGTGGGAGAGGTGCAGTTGCAGGGTCGGCTGCCTCGGAGGGCCGGGCGGGGGGGGGTGATGCTGTGCAAGGGCTGAGCACTACGTAGTTACAGGTGCTCTGGGATTTCCTGATGCACCCTGGGGTGCCAGTCCTTCACACTGTCACTTTAGTGCTGGGGTCACATTAGGATGTCCCAGTAACAGGGTCCCAACCCTGGTGTGGGAACTGATCTTTGGTGTCATGTTTATTATGGCTTTTTATATCTCTTTATGGACTGTACAATGATGCCTTTAAAAGGCTTGACTTGAAGTTTCCCAGGGCAAGCAGGGTCTTGGCTCGACCCCTGCCCTGGAAATCAGAGCCCACAGAGATGCCACCTGATCTCGAGCCCCTGTTCTTAGCAAGAGCACAGCTCTGGGGAAGAAAGCATCGCTTTATGTCAAGAAACCAGAATAACATATCAGGCTCCTTCCTTACAAGACTGAACACTCATGGTTGTGTTTCTGGAAATTCAGCTTGGACGAACAGATGCAATGATACGTGATGTTGGTGTTTGCAGCCAGCCTATGCTGGGTACCCGCCTCAGCTCCATCAGGGGCTGGGAAATGGGTTAATACAGCCAGTTTGCCTCAGCTGACCTGTGCTGCTGTCCCACCAACTGAAAGAAGCAAGAGAAACTGGTGATTAGTGAGAAAACAAGCATTGGTTGTTCCAGAAATTAGATTTTTGGATGGGGACAGCCTGTTTCATGTAGGAGTAGCCCTGTGCTGCTGTTTCTCACAGAGGTGGGAGCAGCTTTTGGTCACTGGATCCAGAGAACTCAAGGTGACTTTGCTGTTTGCAGTCCATCTGCTGCTTTGCTTCCAGCCGGACGAAGCCATGTCCTGCTTAGGACCTCCTGGGCTCCTTGGCAGCATGCAAGGCATTAAAAGCGGCTGTGGATGGACTTGCTGCAAACCTTTCCCACATAAATCTAGTCCAGATCTCTCTTGAAGGGAGGCTGACATTGGCAGAAAAGGGTAGCTCTTCACCAGGCCTCATGCCATTGCAACCCAGAGCGATAAATAAAGCTGCTGTGATTACAGCAATCGGCCCCATGTGCTCTTTGGCCTCTAGTAAAACCTGCCCCAATCATGTCCTCATCTCCTCTTAACCCCAGAAGGTTTGTTCCTTCTCCCTGGCAGTCCTAGTATGACTTTTAAAAAAATAATCCGCCTGTCAGAACCCGGGTATCCAGGCTGGATGGATTGAAATGATCATCCAGAACAAGGTGTGCCAAACCTGATGCCATAGAGAGGATTGATGGTGTTATCCCCCCACCCTGTGCTGCCAGGGTCAGCACAGCCCAGCGTCGCAGCAGTGCCTCAGCTGCAGGGTCTTGCACACCCTTCTGCATCTGAGCGCATGGCCAGGTCTACCTCGAGCTCACCTGCAGCAGAAAAGTGAGTTTGTGCACTGCCTGAAATGGCAATTGCAATATAACCGAGGAGGAGGATGCAGAGAATGGGTTTGGATCAGCACTAGGGTTTGCAGCTCGCAGCAACACAGCTCCTTGGTGCCACAGCTGGGAACAACCCAGGGTGAATGAGCGGCAAAGGAGAAAGATCAGTCCCTGCTCACCAAATGCTGTTGTCCTAGTTCCAGCACCAGCAAACCGGGGGTGGCTGAGATGTGGGCACACGCTCACCCCAACAGCCTCTGCCGTCCCCGGGGCAGTCACAGCTTCGATCAGTGCAGGAGAGGCGAGAGCAGAGCGGGTCTGCAAGCACCCCAGCAAACACGGCAGAGGTATAGCCTGAAAGTGCAAAACCACCATCAACCAAGTCCTGAGATGCAGAAAAACCCGCAGCATCTGCATGGCAGTGGCAGCTCAGGGACATCGTTTGTGTCCCTGGACCCCTCTAGCATGCTGCTGGGCCAACTTAGTGCTCTCCCCACCCATTTGCAGCAGCACAGAGGCAGCGAAGGAGCTGCCGCTGCAGACCCCCCCATCGCCGGCACGCCGATGTTTACCCTTATCTTTGGCAGCAGTCCCGCTGACCTGGCCACAGCCCTGAAAGGGCATGCAGGCCAGGAACTTGCTGCATAAAGGATGGGAAAGAAGCAGAAACATGAAGCTGGAGTTTTACACAGCCTGTTTACGCAGAGCTGGGCTTTCCCGAAGGTGCTGGTGACTTTAGCTATCGGGATCTTTCTGTTACACAGCCTGCAAGTTGCAGCAGGGTTATGAGACACAGCAGAAACAGAAGGGCATTGCTAACCCCTACGCTGCACCCCAAGACACCTTCCCTGGACAGCCTGGGCTGGGGGGGCATCTTGCTCCAGGTTCCAAGCACTTTTGCCATCTTTGCCTCTAGCCTGAGCTACTGGTCCAAGCAGTGGGATACACGGAAAGAAATGGTGGGGAAGAAAACCCCCCAGGCAGATATTAGAGCATCTAAGGAGCCTCCCTGTTTCCATGGCTTGAGCTGAGTTGTCAATGAATGGGATAATATACACCTCAGAGCAATCGTCAAAGAAAAAAATCTGCCCTCCGTTACTTTTGCCCCGCTCAGCTTAAACTAGCTGCAGTTTGGTTTTGCTCCAGGTTCAATGGCCAGGATTTGGAGCACCCCAGCCCACAGCAGCGATGGGAAAGGAAGTCTCTTGTGGTGGCAAGTGCTGTTTTTAA